CCAGGTTTTTCCTGCCTCCCTGGAAAAACACCAAACCAAAACAAAAACTAACCCCCTTCCCTTCCCTGCTTTCTTAGCGAGATCCCTTATAAAACTCTTTAGCTCCGGTCACAGCACCCTCCAATCCCCGCTGTCCCATGTGCCACCTAGGCAGGAATTTCTGCCTCTTTCACTTGCAGCTCCTATAGCTGCCTGGCTCTCGCCAGTGACTCAGACCTGCAGGAAGAGAGAGGACTTTTAGCCCTGATGTGGTGTCATGAGCAAGCACACTATGCTCTCCCCACGCCATTTCAGCTCAACACACTATCATCCTGCAAAAAAAATAAGAGGAAATATTTGGTCATCGAGTCACTGAGCTGCTGTCATACACGGCTACCCTTGAGCCTGAGCCATGTGCTGTGGTTCTCATCCCAAGATGCCAGCTGGTGAAAAAGAGCCTTGGAATGCCCAAGGTAATGAAGAAGGAGGGTACAAAAAAGCCCAAAAGAATCTCTGTAGGGACTTGCCACAAACCTTCAGCACACATGCTGGATCCCCTCCCTGCAACAGGCTAGCGGTGCTTCTTAGCAGCCAGCAAAATAACTCCTGCACCAATCTGCTGTAGAATATCCTAGCCATGCATGTGGGGTTTTACATTTTCATTCTAACATTAGAAAAGGTACTATCTGCCAAACGCACCAGCAGCCACAACAGCCAGTAGTTCTTCATTGGCAAACATCTCTTCCTCTGAGGGATCCAATGTTCCTGTCTCTTTCTGAAAGTCTACTGGAGGCACAAAAATCAGCCGCTCCCTTCTTCCTGGATGAGGGTGGAGGGACCTTCTGAACCTGCTAAATGTATGGAAATCAGGCCCTGTGCTGTCTCAGCTCTTTCTTCAGTTCTTTAAAGGATCTATGTACTGTGATTATAAACCGACTAGTTTAAATCAGCTCCATATGTGGCCTTAGCTAACCCATCTAAGGCATTCTTCCAGTGCCCTAGGAGCACCTGTAGGGTTAATGACAGCTGAAAGGTTTAAACAACTACCGCCTCTTGGTTGTCAGCCACCACTTCTTTGCTCAGAGGAGATGCCTGATATGCAGTAGAGCAGGTTGGGAGTGTATTAGCACATCAAATGGGGCTGTGCTTGCACAACTGCTGTGATTGAGCTTGGGATCAAGAGCTCAAGCCTCTAACTATGTAGCCTGCCCTAAGGCTGCAGTTTCACAAGCAGTGGTCAATGTTAACAGCTCCCTCATGCCAAAAGGGGAAGGCTTGCTCTTCCGCCTCCCCTGCCTTTTCTTATCCTCCCTGATTCCAGGCTTCTGCCTTGTCTGGCAGACTATGATCCACTCTTTCCACTGGGTTAACTTTTTGCTAGCTCAGTAGATTAAATTTGCTTGCCTATGGGAGTCCCTTGAGTGCTAGATGGAGGGTGGCATGAGGTAAGCACAATGCTGAGAGTGGGGAACGAGGAGACAATAGTGGGAAAGGCTTTCCCTTTTTGGTGACAGTCAGCTGTTACACAGTTCACAGCATCTCCCTGGGCCTTAGGCTAACAGGGCACTGTCTGCGATTACTGGGATGATCCTTATGTCAGCTGAGTTATTGATCCTGTGAAAAAAAGGTATAGCCTAGAAGCAAGTCACTTTTCATTTTGCTCCAGGCAAGAGGCAATCCAGCATATTACAGCAAAAGTAAGCAAGGCTAAAACCCTTTTGGGGTTAAATCTGTCCTATCCAAATTCTCCATCTATGCGAGTGGAGTTCCTCCTCCCACTCTTCCCAGCTCCTCTGGTTCTACAGCAAATCCATGCCTGATCCTGTTCATATTCACCACAGCATCTCAGGAGAGTAAATTCTGGTTAAGTTTGCGTTCTACCAGTGACATTTGGTAGCAAGTTCACACTGATATCAGTGCTTCAAAACGCTGCCACCTTCTGTGGAAAACTGGAAACCTACTCACATTCTTCTACCTCATGATTTTTTCCCAAGTTTTGGATTGTACTGCTTTATAAGAATGCTTGCTTCTTTACTACTTCCCTGCTGTACAGCAAATTAATATTCCATGGAAGGATGGGAGAAAAATCCAGTTTTACCCCCTTCATGTTCCTAAGAAAGTGGAATGGGAAAACATCATGTCATATTTACAAAGTTAGTGATAACATAAAGAAATACTTTTATCATTCTCCAAGAAATTTACAAGCAACCCAGTGATTAAAATATCCTTCCTCTGGAAAGTATCTTATAGATTACAGTAGGAGAGCAGGAGACCACATGTTGTTGCGTTTATTGTAAAGTCACAGCAGACTATCCTGCATTAAAGAGGAGCTGCAATAGGGAGTTATAAATAACATCGCCTCCTATCAGCTTTTTAAAAACCTGCAGCTGCTGAAAATCTCCATTTGCCGAGGACAAACTATGCTTCAGTGAAGCGTGGCCAGAAAAGGGACTTCTAAAGGAACAGTTTCTTGTGTCAGTTAATAGAGACAAAAAACTCTGCAGGAAGAACAAAGTACCTCCAAGGAATTTGATTTATATCTGAAATATTTTACGCTGTTCAGCAACTTGAATGCAATCAATCCCATAAATGCAATACCTATAGAAACGAATCAAATGCGTGGAAAACCATAAAAAAGCCCTAAAATGTTCATTCTAAAAACCAAGATAACCACTTTTAAAATACTTCAAACATTAACAAAAGAGTATTTGCAGAACATCTATGCTATGTAACTTCCAATGGCCAAAATACCTGCACGGTCTTTGTCTGTTACATCAGCAAACTGTAACCAGAAATCTGTACAGGAAATCAGAAATCTCTGGGAGAAACCCTGTCACATGCTACCATTCAAACCCTCTTCTTCTAACATTTCTTGGTTGGCTAATGCCAAGATTCACCACACTGTTCTCCAGTCATTCTGATACAGCGATGTACGCAGGTCGCTACGTGAATTTAGAGTCAAAGTGAGACTGTCTGTGCTAGCAAGTAGAACATACCAACAGGAGTAGATGTGCACAGCAAAGCTACTTAATGTTGAGGTTCTGACACACGTACTCAATGCATTTTAGGTAGGACATACTTCAGGTTAGCCCTTGCTCAGTAATCTGGATGGAATGTGCTGGGCATGCAGGAGGTATCTCTACATTAGTATTCCAGTTAGGATGAGCAGCACCCTTTTGAAACCTCCTGACTGCTCCCACCTGACAGGCAGGGTCTTGGAGTGTGCCTAATGGATTCCTTTTGAAGGGGCTCTGAGCAACCTGGTCTAGTGGAAGGTGTCCCTGCCTGTGACAGAGGGGTTGGAACTAGATGAGCTTTAAGGTCCCTTCCAATCCTGACCATCTGTAATTCTATGAAACCAAAGTCACAGATACATGTGCAGAACACACCCAATACATTCCAAACCCTTGTGGTCACTGCATCCACACGACCAGACTAAAGCTGGTCTAGCGCAGCACCTCAGTGGCATGGATGTCAGATCCTCAGCTCCCCTTTCACTCAGAACTTCTGCTTATAAACGCAGACAAGGGCTCAGATGTGGAAACAACCTGAGGCAATGAAGTCACAACATAAGGCTGGATGAGGTAAAATCCATTACCTGGTGTCACAAGCACTGAAATACCTCAGCCAACGGAAAAAATAAAAATAAAAATCACAAATACATGTTTATGCTATAGAATGAATTGTGAGTCAGAGTGCAGAACACAACTTGCAAAACAGCTAGCTTACACCTGCAGGGTCACTACTGAACTGAGGAAAGCAAACCTCCCTGGACACATGAAGGCAGCTCACCAGGTGAACTCACTGGTGGAGAGGTGGTGGAGAGGCAGGCACTGCACAGCACCGGGACACATCCAACAAGCTTCTTTAGCCTTAGAGACACAGACAAGCACCTGTCATGCTTCTGAGTGACACACCCCGGCACAGTGCTGCACCTGCGCTGAGGAAACTGACTGCTGCCTGTGCACCTGAAGCAAAGCTAATAGCAGGAAATTCACAGCAACCGCAAAACGTATCCCTGTACTCTCAGAGAAGTTTCCAAATGTGGTGTTAGAGTGGATACCGCTCCTACTGCAGCACCAAACCCGACTGCAGCGGGATTTCCAAACACTTTCGAGCAGAGGCCCACGCACACTTAAGGAACGCTGACACTGCAGTAACACCACCACCACCAGGCAGCGCATGACTCGGGGGAAGTGTCACACTTCGCGTTTAGAACGACGCCAGTTATGAGGCATCACTGAGACACCGCGTAACCCACTCCATCAGCAGTACCCGGCCAGCGCGCCGCGCTGATGTCCCCCTCTCTTTCGGCAGGCGAAAAGCCTAACGGCAGGGGACGACGCTTAAAAACCAACGCGGGCCCGAGCCGCTCCGGGGTGAGGCCGTCAGTCCCGGGGCAGCACCGAGCACCCACGGCAGCCGTGGGGACAAACCCCCCCCCCCTCACACCGCCCACACCGAGGACGCCGCCACCGCTGCCGGAAGCGCCCCGTCTCCGGGGGGAGGAGAAGCCGGGCCGGGGTGGGGTGGGGCGGGGCTGCCGCGGTGCCCGGATGTGAGCGGGCTCGGGACTCTGGCGCGCCGCCGCGCGCGCGCGCGGGCACAGGTAGGGCGCGCGAGCCGCTCTGACCCGGCCGCTGCAGCCTGCGCGCGCCTGCGCCCGCCCGCGCCCCGGCCTCGCGAGCCCCCGCCCCGCCCCCGCCCTCCCCCTCCCCCTCCCTCCTCTTCCTTCACACGCCCACCCCCCACCCCCCAGCAGCTGTCGAGCTGGGCTCGCGCTGCCGGCGCGCCGCTCGCGCGAGGTAAGCGGCCGCCTCGCGCCGGAGGAAAAGGGGTGGGAGGGTGCGGGGTGAGGAAGTTGTTCCGCGTACCCCCCTTCCCCGCCGTGTGCCAGCGGTGTCTGACAGCCGCTCGGCCCCGCCGCGCCCCGGCTCCGTGACCGGCAGCCCGTCCTCGCGCGGAGAGCTGCCGTCTGCCCCCCCGCCTCAGGGCCGAAAGGCCGGCGTCTCCTCCTCCTCGGGCCTGCCTCGCCGGCCGCGGCCCGCTCCCGGGCCTGTCCCCGCGATGGCGGTGGGAGTGAGCGGGCCGTAGGGACCCTCTCGCCGGCTGCCCGCGCTGCGGTGCACGGCTGTTTCTCCGCAGACCCCGCCTTGCCCCTCGGCGGCTCCTGCCTGGTCCCGGGGAGTTCCTGGCCGGGGTTAGGGGCTCCCTGCCAGGTCCCGCTCTAGAAGGGTTGTCACGGCGGGGCGCTGAGGCGGGTGACACTGGGCCACGCTTGGAGGCCTTCCCCTTTCTGCCTTCCTCCCGAGTTCCGTCGTGGAGGCTCAGCCGGCAGCGAAAGCGCGGGGGGCTGCGGGGTTCTGTCACGGCAGTCGGTGGGGAGGCTCATCGTGAGACCGCAGCGCCCTGTCCAGCAGGTGGGCCTCCAGCCTCAGCAGAGACCGAGGGGCTCGACCGTGCTTTGAGGACTTGAGGATGTGGGAGTTGTGTTTTCCTGTTTTTCCTCTACTTCTTGCACAGAGCCTTTGATTGGTGTGCAGTTTGTTCTGTGTCTTCCCTTCTTTCCATAATCTTGCTTTTACTAAGAGGGACTTCTTCAGGGCAGAAGCTGCCAGTACTTGAATATCTGGAAAAGTCTTTGCTTTGCTGTGCAAAGTATTAGTAGGAAAGAGATGACTAATAACCAGCTAGCTCTCTTTGTAGGACGAGAGTGCATTTGTCAGCGTCCTAAGAAGCAATACCTGAAAGGGAAGGATTGCATGTTCTGTTTTGTACTTGAAAGTCTTTCCTAAGAATGCCAGGTCATGTGGCTGACAATGATGTCTGTTTATGCCTAAAAAAATCCAAGCAGTTCTAGGTGTATGCAGTATGGTGCTCTCAAATTCCGAGAGTCAATGTTGTGCTCTAAACTGAGTGAATATGTGACCAGTGACTTACTCGGCAGCTAGAGCTGTTATTTTCAGGGTGAATGGCTGTACCGTGTCTCTGACAGGTAAACTTTGACTAGTAGAAACCCTTAAGCTTGATAAATGTCATGGAGCTCATGAGCTGTTACAAGTGAGGCTTACAAATTCTCTTACCTGCTCTGTAGGGAGAGGCATGTAAATAAAACCATGAAAAGTGCTGTTAGAGATTTCTTCCCTGGATAGAATTAAGAAACATGTCTCAAATATGAGTTGCTGGTCATGCAGCTTCTTTAAAGGAGAAAGTCAGGAGACAGCACTGGTGTCTGGAATTTGGGCGTTATCCATCTTGCATGTTTAGCAGTATCTTCATAAAAGAGCAGATGAATGGAAATGAGGTTAAGGGCAATTTAAGTCTGAAAAAAAGAAAAAATGCGGCTCTCTTTCCTTTTGGATAATGAATAACTATTAAATGGAGCTTAATGTAAGTAACTTTCAGATTGTTGGAGAAAGACATGCATCTGTCAATACTGAAAGGCTTACTTTCATTTCATTACAACTGCAGTATCTTCTCTGTGTTACACAGCTGGTAACATAAAGTTCCTGTTTAACCTTAAATGTACCTGTCAAATGTAACAATGGATTAGTTAAGGTTTGAAGAGTAATATAATTTTGTTACAGACTTATTTCTTTGTCAGTCTGTCAGTGGCAAAAATTAATAGACAATTCTTGACCTAAAAAGGTGATACGGAAGTTGTGAGCACTGAGTCGTGAAAAGATATTAGTGAAACTTTAATTATTTTTTTTTTAAACAATTTATTACTTTTATTTGAAACAATTGTTACTTATGCCATAATGCAAAACCAGTGTCTTTGAATAAGAGAACTTTAAAGTTTCAGAAGGCACAAATAGTTGTGAAACCAAACCTGTAAGACTTTTTATTGAGGACCTATGGTAGTTTTCAGATTCTTGTACAGATGAACTTTGGCACCCTTAACATCATTTCAGTTCTCATAAAGACATCATCTTTAGCTGCCCAAGGCATATGTCTCAAATAATGCTGTTTTCTAGGCTTCCTGTCATTGATTTGTAGCTTAAGTCATATTGGAAGGAACAGTTATAGGTGGTTGCTGATGTCTATGAAGTTCTGTAGTAGCAACCACAAAACTTAGTAGAGTCTAATGAATTTATTCACTGTTGCTGGGAGGCACAGGATTTACAGCAGACTCACTTTCCTTGTGGGCTGTGAAGGAGAGCAGCATATTTGCTGGAAAAAATGCAAAAGACTGAGAAATTTCCTTTCAGATAGTACCATTATCTGCAGGTGTTGGTTTTTTTGTTGTTGTTGTTGTTGTTTTTTAATTAATTATTAAAGAAACTTTAAGGCTAAGCATTGTTTGAAGGGATATAAGAGGATGGCAATGCCAAATTCAGAGTCTGAAAAGGAAGTTAAAAAAGTGCTTACTGCATGAATGTGTTATATTCTTCATAGGTGGCATGAAACGTCCTGTTCATACGCATATACATGAGGAATGTGCTTGGCACACCTTGATAAGTTACTTTGGCCTAAACATCGATTACCTCTTGTAAAAACCTGTAAGTAAAATAAATGTGATTTTATTTGAGGTTGCTTTGATGATTTGCTTTCTGATCACAGTTAGTATGATCTGCCTTAAAAAGAAATGTCTGTTACCTTGTTTTGTAAAATGGGCAAATCTTCTGTTATGTTAGCTGACACTGTAATAACAGTTGACAAAGACTCTAAAAGCTGAATCAATTATTGTGTTTTACAGAAATGGCAGCTCAAAAAAGGAAGTCTATGTTAGTAGAGCCTTCTGCTAAACGTCCAAAGCTGGACAAGACCAGCAAACCATCATCAAAGAAGGAAAAAGAGGTGTCGGATACAAAACATGTCTCAAATAAGTCAAAGCCTAATTGGTGTGTGGTGCAGGAGAAAACTGTACTCAAAACATCTGTCAAATCAAACAGGTTAGTGACAAAAAATAGGTAATTGTGCTAGATTATCTTCACAGACTAAATAAGTGCAGAAGCAATTTAAGCAGAATGAATTTGAGTGAAAGATACAGCTAAATAGTTAAATAGTACTGTTGGGAAGATCAGCCTTAAGTCATTAAGTATGTTACATGCTACGTGATCTTTCTCTGGAAAAGAGTGTGTCTTGAAATCCAGAAAGATTTCCCCCCCAAAAAATTTCTGAAGCAAAAATAAATCTAATACTATTTAGGTTAATACTTCGACTAAAAGCTGCAAGTGTCAACAATTACAATCTACTGGGGTTGTTAAAAATCATTCATCTGAGGTTCATAGTTCAGGCTTGCATGCAAAAAAAACATTAAGTGCTCCACTTACGAGTGACCAGGTGGAAGTGAAGTTTTTTTAGAATGATTCGAAAGATAATTCTTCTAAAAGTAGTGAGGATGTGTAATGTCCAGGGTTTTAAAAATGAAAAGAAAAAAAAAGGGGCAGAGGTTAGTAGGAATGAGAGGAGTCTTATGACGAATTCTACTTTCTGGTTGCTATAAAATAATTATCTGAATCTTTCAGTGACAACACCAATGAACTTGAACTAGGAACGCGTATGACTACAAGATCTTCAGCACTGAACTCGAACAATAAAACTACACCTGACAAAAAGATCCAACAGCAGCCTAAATCTGCAAAAAACAAGGAAGTATGCCAGAAAAAATCCATGCAAGAAATTCCTATGTCAAAATGCCTAATTGTGCCAAATGAGCCAGTAACAAGGAGATCGCAGAGACTGCAGCAGTTAACACATGTACATGTACCAGCAAGATCCCTGCGCAGCAGAGAAGTTAAAGAAGAAAAAGCTTTGGAAGTTAAACAGAGTAGCCAGGCAAAAAGACAGACCCAGAGTGTTGCAGCAAAAGCCCTTAAATCTGTTGGAGAGAAAACAGGACAGAAAAACAAAAAAACGAAGCCAAACAATACAAAAGAGGATAAAGAAATACATGTAGAAGTGACCAGCTTCCTGAAAGAGAAAAAAAGTAAAGCAGACATTAAAAATGGTAATTCCAACAGCTTTCAGCAAAACCCTCAAGGGTCATCATTATGTCCTGATGAAAGGCTGAAGGAAGTTAAGAAGGACCAAACGGGCCCTGTATCTCCTATTGATAGCAATGCAAAGAAAGTGGAAGCAGACTCTCTTAAGCTAAATTCCAAGACAGTAACTAAGGAAAAACAACAAATGCATCAGAACATAAAAAGCAGTACAAAACAAAAAAAGATTTCACAGCCCTCTGTAAGTGAAACAAATGTGGCTGATCCACCAGAGAATGATGCAAAATCCAAAAGGGTGAGCATCCTTGAACTCTGTGAAGAAATCGCAGGTGAGATTGAGTCAGATACAGTGGAGGTGAAAAAGGATTCCCCTAATGCCAAGCATAGCAGAACAGAAGAAAAGCATGCCGACATACAGCTTCAACAAAGTGAAATGCTTACTCAAACGGAATCTAGTCAAAGTACGCAATGCAAACGGTTTTTCCCTAGCAAAAAAGGAATGCCTGTCAAATGCACTCTAAATGGTAGAAATAATGCCTCAAACAAAAACTCTAAGTGGACCAAAATTAAATTACTGAAAGCTAGTAACATGAAGCACAGTAACTTAAATTCTGCAAATGCCCCCAAGCTTTCTTTGTTAAAGGATTACCGTGAAGTTTCAGAGGCAACTCAAATAGCTACAGAAGTAGAGCTTTCAAAAGCACAAGGCAACCTGTCAATAACAGGACTCTCTGAGAATGAAAGTGTAACTTGTGTGCAGGAGAAATCAGATCTATCATCTGAAAGAGCTGGAGCTAAAGAAGTGACATTAGAAATAAAACAGCCCACAAAGAAAGGTGCAGAAAATGGTTTGTTGCATAATTTGACAAAACATTTATGCGAACCAAGGCCAGATGAGGTAAGTCATTTTAATTATGGTGTATGGTGGGAGGGTGTTCTAAATCTGTTCTGTTTTCTGAGAATGCCATGCTCAGAAAGTTTGTTTTAACAATAACTTTCTTTCACAGTAGCTTAAAATTTTCAGATTTCTTAAAGATGCTTTACTGGTGTGCTGTCATAGATGGGATAATTGTAAGCTGGAAAATTAATCTGTTCCACCCTTCTAAGTTCTGTATTTCACTAGGTGTCAGTCAATAAAATTTCCTGCTGAAGCGAGAGTTTGTACAAATTCATATGGACACTTTCTGATGACTTAAGCTCACATAGCTGTTCTGAAAAGGTGTAATGAATGGGGAAATAAAGTGTTCTCTATCTGAATGAACTTCTGTTAAAATTTAAGATTTCAAGGTCAAAGGTGTTCTATACAAAGTATTTTACAAGCTTATACATAAAATGAAAAAGGTATTTTGAAAAATGAATACCACAAACTTCAATATGGACTAGCTAATCAGTTGCATTTTGTTTGCTTCAAATAATGTAGGAATTGGGGAACTGGTACTGTATTTAAGGTTTTAATATGTAGTAAACTCAGTGAATTTGTTCATAGGTTAGATGCATTAATTAGTTTGGATTTTTTTTTAATGTGCTCTGTTTTGTTTAGACCTTTAGACATTTGGAATCAAGTCCAGACAGTTCTCCACTAAAGTATGTTACAGCTCCTAAACCACCAAAACAATTAAAAAAAGAACCTGGAGAAAGTGAATCTCAAGGTAATTGTCTGCTACTAATTTTTTCTCTTCTTCTGAGTTATATGGGAAGCATAGGTCTTCCTTTCAGAGGAGTGTTCTCCATCCCTGTTAACCAGGGCTTCTGTATTTCTTTGTGTCGCACCCGTGGCCACTTTAGTAGAAGCAAAATGTCCTTTTATCTCTGGGTTGTAGTTGGAGAGAGAGATGTCCGTTTTTCGACCCAGCTACTTTTTCTGGTGTGTCTTTATGCTTTATGCAATAATATTTTAAGTCTTAAATATGCCTCATTTGAGAAAAGGTGAAGTGACAACTTTTAAAACAAACAAGAAACCCCCAAACCAAATCTTTCCCTTTTTCATTCAATAAGGTATTGAAACTTCCATATTTCAAGTGGATTCTTCTGTCATATTGGTTTCTGTTAAGGATTCTCTGTTGGTTACAGCTTCCTTTGAATAATTATCTGCACTTCTTTCTCCTGAATTGTTCTACTTGGTCTTGACCAATTGTTCCCTGAGTAATCACTTTTCTGTTTTTATTACATAGTCTTCATTTATTAGCCTGTGAATGCAGTTTGTCAAACCTTATGTTGAGAGTTATGTGAATATTTTGACTGAAGTATGTTTGATGAAGAAATATTATTGATTGATCCCTAATGTAGATCTTCATTAATTTCCCTCATAATAATATGATATTGAATCCTTTTGCTTTGGGGTTATGTTTTGTTGTGGGTTTTGGTTGGTTTGAGTTTTGGGGGTGTTTTTGTGTTGTTTTTTGTTGGTTGGTTAGTTGCTTTTGGGTTTTTTTAATCTGAACCTGATTTTTACTGCACTGTTTAACTATTCAGCTTTTCTAGATAGTTGTTTTTTTCCTGCCATTATAACGTGTTTTTGAAGAGCAAAATAATTATACTATTAGAGAATGTAAATTTTTTTTCTTTCTTTCACTATTCTTGATTGTTTCTTCTCTTTGAGTGTTACAGAACATGCCTCAGATGGGGGCATACTATACATTTAGGATTCTTATACTATACGTAGAACTATTTATATGGGTGTTGGTATAAGCAGATTTAAACTCCTGTGCAATTTTGCTGCTGGCCTTGTTTAGCTGCTGGCAAACTGCTCTGCAGAATTCCTGTGGGAATGTTGAGGAAAACTGCCTATTTTTTTGAAGTACATGTGGAGAAACACCTGATTACTCCCCCAAAATTCCGGCCTTTTTTGTTGGCCATGAAAAATTGTAGCAGTGTCTTGTCTGTGTTTTTGCAGATAACTGTTTGTGTGGCTTAAATTTCCTTTGCAAATAAAAACTTCATTATTAAAGTTATAATCTTTGATTAATTGTAGGTTTGGCTCCCAAGCAGTTGACACAAGCTTCACTGACAAATCAAACTTCTGAAACTGAGGACAGGTATAGCATTTCATATGCTGTGAAATTGCAGTTATGTTCCATAGAGTTATGAGAGGGTCTGTTCTAAGATTTAACTGTTCTATTTTTCCCCACCCTCACCTTTCAGCTCCAAATAAGTGACTTGTTCTTTATAAACAGACTTTCAGTTTACGCAGTTATTAAGAATGTTTCTATTTTGTTAAGAAAATTATTAAGCAAGATATTTGTAACTGCACAGTTATTTTAAAAAGTAGAATTTAACAGTGTTGGAAGAACATTCCTAATCTTCCTCAAATTGTATGATAAACAGATTATGGGAAGGAATTACCACATGATTTTCACTTACTGAATTATTTAACTTCTGGAAAAGTTTTCTAATGCTTAAGTTATGGTACTCTTTGTATATATGAAACCTTCTTAAGTGAGGAAGAGCAGATTTGATTTAGGATTGTTTTGTGATTGCTGTGAAATGAAGGAGTCAACAGCCATATTAAAAAAAAATGGTTCTTGTTCTTACTACTAACTAAATTGTTCTTACTGCTACTAATAGTTCAGATTTGTGTTTTATCCTTGATCACATTGACTGTTGTAGTTTTTGAATAATTCTGGCATAGTCTCTGGTTTTAGCCAATTACAAGCTAAAGACAATAATTTCTTTATACCTGATACGTTGAACAGCAACATAGTTGGCACAGTGGTTGATGTATTGATACTGTTTTCTATATTCATAAGATAAGAAGAAATGATGCATTTAATTTTCAGTACATCTGTATGAGGCCAAATTAATAATTCTGACTAACCAGCCCTTTTGTACATGTTGAAAAACTCTATGGAATTTCACAGAAGATGGGTGGTAAGGCAGATTGAAAGCTAGTTAAATGACTCTTTTCAGATTTTTCAATAAGTATTGCAATAACTTCAATAACTTTGCCTTAAGTTTTTATTCTCAACTGCCAAATAGCTTTATGTTATCTACTCAAATTTGTTAGCTGAACAACCCCATACTGCTTTGCTGTTATTTTGATAAGAATTTTCCTTGAGAGCTTTCTTACCCTGCTTTCCGTATTTTAGCCAGGATTTAAGGCATTGTTCTTTCTGTGGTACTTCTGCTGTAACACACAGCAATGTGTATATCTAAAGCGTAGGTCTCTTTAGGGCTTTGTAAGAAGAGGTTCTGGTGGGAATAGGCAAACCATGAAGTAGCTGCTTACTGCAAATTTTGGGGCCCGTGACAAGAATAAAAAAAATAGCTCTGATTTAGCACAAAAAATGCTGTTTTAACAATATCTGTCAAGAGGTTTTATTTTTGAAAAGTCTCTCTGAATTAACGTGCTATGTGTAGTGCCGTGGCTGCTACAAATAAGTGTTCGGTCCTATGTCCTCAGTTTGCTCAGAAAAAGAAAATATGTAAAACTTAATTGAAGTACATATATTCTTGTATGTATTTTTCTTCAGTGATCTTCACAAATTTTATCTAAACCTGGAATTGAGGTTTTTGTTTGGGTGTTGTTTTGTTTGTTTGTTTGCTTGTTTTTTTTCCCCTGAATATAGTAGCAAGTTCATAGAATAATTTTATTGGTGAGGTATTGAAGTACTTTCCAGTGTTTCTTTCAGTTGTGAAAAGGGCAAACTTAAACTGAGTGAGAGAGATACTAGGGATATCCAGCCATTTACTCCTTGGATCCTCTTCTCTCCTTCTCTTCACTGCCAGCCATTAGAAGAGAATAAGTTTCAGTTGAATTTGAGAGATTTGTAACATCTGTTTTATATTGACGACTTATATTTGTGGGAATATTTACATGGTCTGCTTTAGCAGTAGCCTGATACCTAAAATTAGAAAGCTAAACCTTACATAGGAAATGTATATCATTAGGGAGCATCAGTTATGCTCTGAAAATGCCTCAGTTAAATGCTTGGGTTAATGCTTGTGACTAACCTACCCCACTCGATTATAATTTTCTTTTCATTAAAAAACCTCACTTCTATTTAGGCTAGTCACAAATTGTATTTTTTGGTTAATCCTTTTATTTCATTATTTTTCCATTTGAATTACAACTTAGGATATATAGGACTCTGTTAACTTGGATTTGCATCTTGTTAAAGTTTAGTTGTACTAATTACAGTATCTAGGATGACGTGTATAAGCAGTCCCTTTTTTAACATGAAATTATTTGTATTTCAAGGGTTCCGTTGTCAAATCCGTCATTAGCATCAAAATGCAGTAACTTCATACCATCTGAGGAACATATTCAGAAGCTAAAAGAAGCAGGAAAAGATATTGACAAGCAGCTGATCATAGTAAGTAATACCCTTTCAGTAAGGCTTATAGCTGCTCAAGTAAATTACTTTTGAGTTTGCAGTGTAGTGTTTTTATGAACTTGCCTAAAAATTGTTACTTATACAGCTATTACCACTATAAATGACTTGTGAAAGGAGAACCTATACTAGATTCATGCAGTGTTGATGGTGGTAAATGGTGGCAGGCAGACTTAATGTTTAAAGCTGATTCTTGTTAAACCAAATTCCTTGTTTTTTTTAAAAGAATAGCTATTCAGTAAACATGCAGTTGTGTGGGGGAGAATTAACTTACTTTTTATGTATGTGCAAAATCTCAGTTTTTTAAAATTTCAGAATTATGGGGGGAGGTCACCTGACAGATTGTGTACAAAATTAGTATCAACAGATTTATTCCTGCACCAGTCAAACGCCTATTGTTCTGAGACAGCCTTAAAGATTTTCCTGTGGATCTGCTCATTTTCACCAAAATATCGAAGCAGCAATACTAGTTTGATTATTTGGTCTTACCTTTTTTGTTATTAGCTACCAAATGTGCAGGTATCTCTTTTAAAACAGGAAAATGCAGAACGAGAAGAAAGAGTGGCACACAATCATTTTTCTATCTTGTAGAATCGTACAACTTGATAGTGAAACAGTTGGAGTTTTTGGTTGTGTTTCACATTGTCTTTTTAATAATCCACACATCAGATAATCCTTGAGAAATAAAAGGCTGGAGATGGGGAACTACAAAGTGGGAGGAATCCAGGCCATTAGGGAAAGATGACTAGTAAGCTTCTTATGAAATTACCCCGCTCTCATACGTAACTGGTGGTGATTCTATATTACAATTTTTTTAATGCCATACATGGGTTATACACATGAAAATATTACCTAAAATAGAACCAGTTGAATTCTGAACACTCATATCCATACTGAAGTATTTTAAAATCAGAGCTTCTGAAAATTGAATAGATAAACATATCCTTGATTTGCCTAAAATTATACAAATCTATGCACTTAAATGCCCAGTCATGGGATGATGCATCAACTGTATCCAACGTTAAGATATTTCAGCTATTACCTCCTTGAAATTCATTTTACCAGCTGAGTTAAAATGCATGATTAAATACCTTCACTATATTAAAAGGTCTATAAGAATATTACTTTTCATTTCAGTAAAGCTGACAATTTTTGCTGATATAGTAGTAGAACTTAACTGAAGAGTTGCTAGGATCATTAACAAGAAGAAATACGTAACTCTGTTTAGCTACTGAAGAGAGATTGTGTAGTTTTCCCCTACTGCATTGATACAAAATGATTTTTGCTACTTATTGACTATGCTGGTAGTATTCTTGTGTTCAGCCCACATTACAAGAGCAAGGTTTCCCCCCCAGCCCCAGATATTCACCAGTAAAAGCTTTTAAATTATTCATCTAGCAAAATTTTAGGATATAAACAGTGGGTCATAAATGAAGAACCCTAGGGAAAAGGGGAGAGACCTTGAAAACAAGACCTTTCTTGTTTTCAGAGTGTATTTCTAGAAGATGCAAGTAAGCACTGTATTTAATTTTTAAACGTGAAAGTAACAGCTTCATAGTATCTAATACATTTCAGCACTTCATACAAGTGTAGTTCAGTTGGATTGCATTGAGTTCAGAGTTTTGTTGAAATAAAAGGGTGTTTTGGTAATGCCTGTAGTTCACTTTACCAAGAAAGCATTAGGTACAGTATTGCTCTGTTATTCTTTTAGCTGGGGGAAAACTGCTTTTAGGATAGTCAAAATATGTAGAAGAACCCAAATATTTGTTAACCCACTTTGTAAAATACTGTCCTTAACATTAGTTGCTGTGGAGACAGGACAGTTTTGTCTAGAATAATTTGTGCTAGCATCTACAGGGGAAAAATCACTAAATAGACTTTTAAAGTACCAGACTTTGGAGTATTTGTATCAGCGAAGATTTGGGATTAAATACGTATAATAAAATAAGGTACATTGGTATATTTTGTAATTTATAGTAATGGTCCTCTGAAAACAGAGAAAAGATTAGTTTGGCTTAAAAGCTGTTCAGTTTGAAACTCCTATACAGAGAGCAGTCGTACTACACACAATCAAATCACTAAAATGAGCATGTCATAGCATCTGTAAAAGTTTTTATAGTTAAGAGCCAGAAATAGTTTTTATTTCAATTTCTGGCATGTTGTATTAAGAGCAGCAGTTTGTTATCTTCTTTGCCTTGCGCAAAGTTCGGAAATCATGCTTTTATTCTTAGCAAGGGACATTTAACTTCCTCTTTGCTACATTTGTTACAGCTGAAATTTTATGCTGTCTACTGTGAGATCTGATTCTTACGGAGATCTGTCAAGCCAGTCTATCTTAATATACGTACACAATCCTGTTTTGCTTTTCATAACCAAAGCAGAAAAACTAGTAGGGCTTAGTTTGACTCGCCACCTGATACAGTATCTTTATTTTGCTGGGTTTTTTTTGCTACTGATTTTTTTGCAGCATTTTGTATTTAAGTTTGACATCTGTCCTTTTTAATTGTCTTTATGGTATCTGAAGCTCAGAGTCTGGGGTGTTACAATATCATCTGTGTATTCTAACCTTCCTGCTTCCTGAGCTATATTTAGAGAGGTGTTATGGTAAAATTAGTCTTTGTTTTCCACAAGGTGCTTAATTTTTTAATATGTAATCCTTAAAGATGTATCATACATTCCTTCTCGTATATAGCAATATACAATTGCTATGGTGAATAGATTAATTTTCTATTTATCTTAAGTAATGTAATCTTTAGCAAGCTTTAAGGCTTTATGACTATAACAGAAAAAATAAAACATCTTTTTGTAGAAGAAATACTTAGTAGCTGTACTTGCACTGTTCTCTTTTCGTGGTACTTATCATCTAGTTATCTGAGCAGGTTTCAAACCTTCATCCTGTAGAGCGGTATAACTAAGACAAATGATGAGTTGTTTCTGTTTTGTTCAGATTTGCTTACTGTCACACATCTTAAAAAGTAAGTCTCTTCAGAGCATATAACTTCAGCTGAAAACAGAAAGTAATCTAATGCTGCAACAAACTTCATAAAGCAAACAGTGACAGGAAATAGTGGTGTTCTAAGTAATGCGCAAGGATTTAGGTTCAGACCAAGGAAAGTATGATCTGTTTTTCTGGAGTAAAGAAATTAAGAATGAGGCTTAAAAATAATGTTCCACATCCATGACTTGGTGTTCAGAGCAGTAGTCTGTTCTGAATATTTGTGAACTGTACACTCTTATGCATCATTTAAATACACAATTGGTAGCTTGACAAGTTACATGAAGCTTCATATTGGAAGCTTCAGAGTGATGCGTTGAAGTTGTTCTTTACTTTCCAAGTATTTGAATCTGATGTGCTAATATGAGAACTTGAATATGAAATCATATGTTCCTTTAACTTCTGAAATAGGAAAACATGCAAATGTGCAAAGCATATGTTTTAAATTTTCATAAGATGAGGTATGCCTTACATCTAAGACAAGGCAAGTCAGTTGTTTGCTTCTTGTAAAAATTCTGCTTGCCTGCTAGATCTAGGACAAAATCTTGACCAGAAGAGTGGGAATTGGTAAAAGTATTAATGCTACAAAGGAATGTTCTAAATAATGATTTCTGAGCTACAGGGTTACTTCTTCCATTTTATGCTACTAAGGGCATGTGTTTCTTTGAAAATAAAGCTAGTCTTGAAAATGATACTCATCAGTTCTGAGAAAGAACATGTGAAAAGAATGAACAGTGAAAACAAATCACTGAAGTGATAAAAACACAGTATAGAGAGACTTTTCTGCCCTTTTAGACATCTGAATTAATGTCTGGATGCAAACAAGATTAAATGTAGATAGTACTGATTAGTATCAGCAAATGCATGGATCGGGATTGCTTGATGGAATATGTCTTTGATTCTGAGGTTTGAGTTGGTGTTATATATGGAAGTGATGTACACAGTAATTCAGTTTACACATTTGGATATCATACTTGTATTTTTCCTTACTTATATATATCTTATATATAGGTAATATATATGAAAGAAGAATTTTGATTTCAGCTTTAAACACAATCCTCTGTGGAAATAGTAAAAGTGACTTCTTATGAGCCTGAAGGAAGCTATAGCTATCGTTTAAACTTGCTGTTTTCTTCCTTAAACTGGTATAGTCCAGTTAGCAATTTCTCTGAAGAACGGCTTTTGGGCAGTCTTCTGTTATTCACGTTAGTTCAGTACTGTCTCTTTTCTTTCTCATAATCCCAGTAAAAACCAACGCAGTGATTACTGTGTAAGTGATTGTGGAAGGAGTTTGGTACTTGAGGGCTGTCACTCTTCCTTTCCTCCCACACAAATCTTATCCCTGGGGATAGCTCTGCTCTTAAGGGACAGTAATGGCCATCCTTTCTTACTGCTCCTTCCCATTTCTACTTAGCTTTTTCTGGCAAATTCAGATGGGTTGTGTTCTGTGTCCTTTGTCCTGAAGGTGGAAATGTTTTGTAAGGTTAGCTGGGGACATGACACAGGAATTTGGGCACAAGACTACTAACATTGTCTTGTGTGTTAACCCTCGTAGGCAGCTAACCACCATGCAGCTGCTTGCTCGCTCCCCACAAACAGGATGGGGAGAAAACTTGTAAAGCAAAGCAAAATAAGGAATTCATTACTACTCCCCATCAGCTTGCAGGTATTTAGCCATGTCCAGAAAAGCAGAATTGCATTGTGTGTGACAATTGGGAAGATAAATGCGGTAACTCCAAATGTCTTCCCCTTCCTCTTTCCCTTAGTCTTTATTGCTCAGAATGATATCATATGGCATGGGATACTGCTGTGGTCAGTTGTTCCAGCTGTGTTCCCTCCCAGCTTCTTGTGCACCCCCAGCCTGCTCAGTGGCACAGCAGAATGAGAAACACAAAAGCTAAAACATCCCTGTGCTGTCAGTGCTGTTTTGGTCACAAATCTAAAACATAGCCACATAGCAGCTGCTGTGAAGGAAATTAGCCTTATCCCAGCTAAAACCAGTGCACATCGGAACACTGTCTGTAATACTCTTGAATAATGTGTTTATATAGTTAGGAATGGACTAATTGTCCATTGTAAATATTGTGCAGATTTGTTTCTTAACTTTGTAATTTTTTTCATATTGCTTTAGCTAATGAGCAGTGAGGATATCATTTCATGAAGGATAATAACCCTCCATTTTAATTTTTCAAATATGTTAAATAAAATTAGATACATCACAGTACTGAAAGCTTCAAGTTGCCTTATATCTTTTGGCTAAAATAGCATTCCAGAAAGTTGGGTACTGGTGATGGAGGGGTTTTGGGTTGGGTCATTTTTGGATTTTTTTGTTTGGGGTGGTTTTGGTTGTTGTTTGTTTGCTTGTTTGTTTTGTTAAATTCCACTGCCTTCAATTTGAAGTGAAACTTGTTTCTGAGTTGGGTCGCATCTTCTGATTCTCCTGGTCAGCAAGGGGATCTACCCATCAGCTTCAGTCTTGAATGCATCTTTTGCTGAAACAGCATTCTTTGACCTTTTCATTTTCTGTGGAGAGTCCAAAAATCTTTGTGGTGTTCCTTCCTGCTCAGCTTGTATTTCCTTTCCAGCCTGCCTGTTTCTATGGCTGGGTTTTATTCTTTGTTCTGTGAAAAGACTAGAGGAAAAAATAATCTTCCTCTAACTAACACTAGGTAATGAAGAACAAAGTGACCTAATCTGTGCTTGAAGAGAGAGAAAAGAGAATAAATAAAAAATAAAAAGGGCCCCTTTCATATCCTACAGAGGCACCAAATGCCTTTTTTGCTTGCAGGGCTCCTTATTCCACATATGGAGGATCAGCAGACATCCACCTTCTCAAAGAAGATATTGGTAAGACTTTTCTTTCTGTCTAACACAGAATTAAGAAACCCTCTGGACATTAAGGCAACATTTTCACAATGTTCAATTACAGTTAGTCTTGAAACAGTTGGATCTCATATATCCTGTGCCTGTATTATTGAGGATTGCCTGAGATGTCAGGATGCTTAGTTGCCATCTACACATGCTGAATTTGCTTAGGAAATAGAAAGCATCCTTGCTCTTTATTGTTACGGTTTAGAAAATTGTATTTTAAATAGAGTAACATATTTTTCTCCCTGCAACCTGGCATTTTCTTAAATACTGCTCTGAAAAACATTTCTCTAAACCTCTTACATCCTTTTTCTGGTTGTGACAAGATAACAGTTTATTCTCCAGTACGCAGTATATGATGTTTGCTGAGAAGTTCCTTCTCCCATCCCAGTTTAAAGTTTTTATTTACTCTCGTATGTAGTGCATAAGGTGTTCTTAGGTTGTAGGGGAGCATTTTTTTGGCTCTTCATGCATCATCCCATTTCCACTTTTGGTTATGCAGTGACATCAGGTTAAAAATAGTCAGATTCTATAGATGTTTTGTTGAAAAAAACACAAATGCATTCTTCATAATTCCTGACTTCATTTTGCATGTCCTCGTTTTTGTTTTTTTTTTGTTGTTGTTGCTGTCTGCATTGATTTACAAAGCTGCCTTTTTTTTCTTCTTCCTTTTTTAATTCTGAAGCAGTAAGTTCTGTTGTGTGGCTTTGAAATAGTACTTCAATTACATAAGGTCTGTCTTCTTTACTGTCCTCAGGATACTGTAAAGTATTTGCTAAAAAATACAGTTTGCATTTGTTAGGGCTGCAGAGTTCAAAAGACTGCTTTGGGTACTACAATGTGATTTTTCTGATAATTCACAAAATAGGTTTTTAATATTAACCTCTGTGCATAGCCCATTGATACAACTGAATGCCTGTAAAAATAGTAATATCAGTGAAATCCGTAAACAAACAAACAAAAAAATCCAAACAAAAAATGCCCCCCAAACCCACTGATACCAGCAGCATCCAAGAAAGCCAGTGTGGAATACAATATGACAGTACTATTCCAGGGAAATAATCCAGTCCTGGAGACTTGCAAAATAGCATTTGTTTTTACAAGGCAAGATGGGAAGAGCTAAGGATATCCGTGTCCCGAATTTTTGGATGTCTACTTAGGTAGTAAATTAAACTCCTTTAGCTTAAATACCTTCATCTTCTTGATCATTTGAACAGAAATTGTTTCATGAGACTTAACTGCAGTACTTGTGTGTGTTAAGTATTTAAAAAGTTGCTTTGTGTAGCTGATTTTCTAGTTTACATGTCTTATTTTTTGAAGTGTATTCCAAGCATCAAAGTAGAATTCCTCTTCACTTATCTTACCCTAGATAGAGGATTTGTTCTCCATTTTGAAGATAGGAATTACTAAATTCAGTTCATCTTAGTAAGGAAATTGCCATACATCATCCTTCCTGCTGAATTGTCTTTTTTCATCTTCCATGTACAAGTCCTTAAAATGCAGTATATTTTGGTGGCCAGCTGGGTACTTTGTTTTGAACTATGTTACTACTTTAAAGGAGGTCTGCAGGTAAAATAAAATGTGTTGGATTCCATTTTTACACCTTTAGAAACTTCATCTTATTCTGACATTGCAAATCTAACCTCTGGATTTTTCTTTCCTTTTTCCTTCAGAAAAACAATGTGCTCCTGTTTCTCCTTCTTATACAGTAGGAATGTATAAATTGATGTACCATTAAAGCAGTGACTTCTCAGCTTCAGCTTCTTTCTTTGGCTGAGTTCCATAGGTGTACTCTTAAAGAGAAGTTCAACTCTGAGTTTGCCTGGCCAGTTTAACCTTTAGTTTCATCTTGGAAAGAAACGGATGCCTGCATTTTAGATTTCACTAATGACTGCTTGAAATAAGTTTCTGTTGTGTGTAGAACTGAGCTGTCATCAATTTGTGCACACAGATCAATTTCCTATTAAAAAACATGCTTAAATAGTCTTTTGCTTATATAGCATCCTATTTTAGAGTATAAAGTGACTTTTTGTTTCTCTGTGAATTGTGATATATATTAAAATAGATTAAAAGTGACATTGCTGCTTACATAAATGCCATTTCCAAATGTAGTTAAAAAAACTATTTAAGCATTAAGTGGTAACTTTAAAACATCCCTTTTTGCCTAGTATACTTTCTTGCTTTTTACACCTGGCACTTCACTCTTTAGTAGGCACTGACTCCTTAATCTGAGCATATTTCCAAATTCATAACACTTTTAATGTATAAGTAGCTAAGCAGTAAGTACGGAGTAGTGCCCTTAATTTGGTAATAGAGTAGGAGTGTAATCTAAAGGGTCATGAGTAAAATCATATGATTTTCTGTTTGTATTGTAGCTGCTATACAGTGTCTGTAAAATAAAACTAATGAACCCTGTGCAATTAAGATACCATGTCGGAGATGGTAGTTAGCTATTACCAATTAAGAGTTAAGACGTAAGTCCTGAGAGTATATTCAATAATAAGGGGGATGAAAACCCCTTAATACTATTTGATTGCCTTTAAATATTTGGTTTTCCTAAGTACCTGAAAGCACAATCAGTGATTGTAGATATATTGCTGATCTTAACAATTGTATCAATGTAACTTCTGGGGGATTTTAGTAATATCCTTCCAAATATTGAGGAAAATGGCTTAACTTTGGCCCATCTCAAAGCAGCTCACAACCAAAAGACAGGCAGCAGCAGAACTGTAGGGAAAGCTAAATAGTGTGAGGTTGGATGTGGGAATTTTCTTTGTGGAAGATGATTATATTTACTCCAAATAGGGTAATGAAGGAAGAATTCTCTGTTCTTTGTTTTGAAAAAAAAATAAAAGAGAAGTCATTTGTTCAAAACTAATGGGGGTGGAGCTAATTTTAACATTAGGTAGAGTTTGCTCTGTGGTTGAGGCTGTGTGGGTTTTTGAAAGCTGGAATTCTAAATTTGAACCTTGTTCTTTCTCCTATTAAACTCCATTTTAGCCTCTGTGTTGAGTTTCCAGAAGATAAGTTGTACAAGATGTGTCTGATTAGATGAAATTTCTGTTGAACTGATTTACTGTGCTTGCAACTGACAAATACTTTATTATTATTATTTTAAATAGGATGCAGGACAGAAGAGGTTTGGTGCTATTTCCTGTAATATTTGTGGAATGCTTTACACTGCGTCAAATCCAGAGGATGAAACCCAACATCTGCTATTTCATAACCAGTTCATAAGTGCTGTAAAATATGTGGTAAGAAAACCTTGTGTTTTTAAAGGCATAAGCATTATCTTTTATTTGCTGTGTACTAGTTACAATTTGTATTACATTAAGTTGTATTTTAATAAATGAGTATCACAGTAGGCCATAAAAAACCCACTTTGGGAAATAAGTATTTTTAAAAGCCATATTAGACAGGTTATATATAATGTGTAAAAATAGTAGAATAATGGTGTTTCATTGCCATTGTATTCTTTCTGTTACGATTCCCTAATCTTAGGCAGGGCTGAGGGTGGTGATAGGAAAACAAAGGAATGCCACTGTTCTGAAAGTGCTAAATACAGGTTTCAGTGCAGCTGGTGTTTGCAGTGGTTGGCTTACTAGTTAAAGAGCTGATTGTACTGGTTTTGTAATTGTATAATTTTAGATGACTTGTAAATTACTTTTTGTTAATTATGTGTAATTTGAAGAGAGACTGCCTAGGAATCCAGCTAAACAACTTCATAGTATATTGAAACTTTACTGAATTTATAGTGTGATTGCAAACTTTAAATATAAAGTCCTAAGTATTATTCCATAACTTCTTTATATGTGCTGTATCTAACTCTCGTGTTAAAGCTCAGATTTGAAAAACATTGTATAATTTAAAGTATATTGTAAAATCAGCTACTTTGCACTAGCTGATTATTACAAGCCTTCTAGGAAATACCTGTTCACATGTCTGAAATCAAGAATAGAATCCACAAAGTCTATTTTCTTTATCACACATGTTACCTTCAGTACTCTACACTCGAGTAGATAAGACCTCCAGGATAACTGAACTGAGGCCACCCATTCATTTCATGTAGGTACCAAATGGCTGTTGGGGCTACTCTTAAATCCCAAGCTCAATTTTTTCCCAGTGCTTACAAATAAGCAGATACAACTTCATAGCTGAAGTGTTTTGAAACCCTCTGGTAGATAGTTCTGGTATTTCGTTTCTTCTTGATTAGTTTTTGCTGAATGATCCAGACATCTTGAAAAGTCTCTTCTGATACATGTTAGCTACATTTGTAGGGTGAGACTGAGCAGAAAGTGTGAGGGAATGTAGCACATTATAATGGCAGCATGTGATATGTTTCCTCATTTTATTCCTGTTTCTGTCTGTGTGTCCTCCTGCCCTGCCCAGTACTTTCAGTTCTGGAATATTAACAAAGATATAAAGGTAACAGAAGATGATGTTAATTCTTTTGCGCAGAAGCTGGCAGATGAGTTCAGTAGTTACTTAAAGCTCCCATGTTCGCATAGTTAGGAAGCTACACTGAAGTTTGACTATTTTGGAAATTGAAAGAGCTGAAATTTCTCACTTCTATGTATGTCCAGAATAACAAGCGGAAGAGCAGACTGCCTTAAACCAGATGCAAATAACAATGTATAAAGTTAGGTATTTTTTTAATTTGAGAAAAACTTTTTTTTCTCAGTTGCTACACATTTTTTTAAAAACTTCACATCATGTGCACTCAAGCAAATTATTTGTATTGTTAGTTCACTGAGTAAACAGTAATATCTCTGTAACCTTTGACCCTGATTACGTTTTGTGACATTGTAGACATGTACAGAGTGGTGATTTAGATGGTTATTCTGAAATAGAAACTGTAGCGTAAGAGGCAAAGGAGGTGCTCTTAGGAGTCTTCACATTCCCCTGTGGTGTATTTTTTTTTTCCTCGTAACAATTTGACACTGTTTTCTACATGGATAAAAAACTTTTGCCATGCTAAATAGTTAAGTCTTCAACACCAGTCATTTGACTCATAGTCACTGGTTCTTGGTTAATTATATTGTGGTAATGTCCATGACAGAAACATCCTCACCTCCTCTTACAAAAGAATTTAAATTTTAGATAAGCCTGCTTGACTGTACATTTGTACACCAAGTCTCTATTTGTTAATGCTTAGTCATCCAGAAATACCAGAAGAATAATTGCTAGTTATCCTAGCTTTGCTAGAAGGTTTCTAGTGGGGATTGCTGGGAGGATGGCTCAGAGTTGTGATACATTTGGTTTCTCGATATTTGTATGTAGTTACTCTGTTGACACTATAAGTACCTTCCTTTCCCTGACAGAAAGCCTTAACTGGACAGGTAGCATCATGGCATTAAGAGCTATGTGATGAAGTCTTGGTAACTTCTTGTTTAGATTTTCTGGTCCAGGGTTGATACCTTGATATGTTACTTTATTAGCTGTTTATTGTCCATACCTTGATATGTTACTTTATTAGCGCTACAGATACTAGATATATTTTTTAATGTAGCAAATATATTTGGCATTATTGATGATTTGGAGGCAGTTCTAATGTATCTTTTAGAAGATTTTTTTCTTTCTCTTGTCATTCACATTCTTCATGGCATATGATGCAGTTCCAGTCTGACTTGAGAAGACTCTTCTTGGTTTTAACTTCCTTTTCAATGTGTCTTGATAAATGCCTAGTAGTTCTATTGCTGATTCATTTCACAGAATCACAGAAAGAAGGTCTCTGTATATTGTCATGCTAAAGCTTCTTACTGTGAACTGTGAAAATGGACTTAATTGTTAGTATCTTGCCAACCTGCATGCAGCTGCTTTGTGGGTTTTTAAAAGTGCTGAAGCCAGAAGATAGTTTGCATGTAAATAATAAATTAGTTACTGTTTTCAACTAAATATAATTTTGATTGGGTTTTGGTTTTCTTTTAGAGGCCTATCTTGTTTTGTTAGTAAAAATTTCTTTTTAGGTCTCTCTAGAAAGATGGATTTCTGTCCATGGTGCCCCCAGAAGTAGGACAGTCTGACAAGGAGATTGTATTGGGATAGTTGTTTTGTCGTGGATGCCTAGTAGAAACAATGAGGAAATTATAGGCCTTGTGTGGAGAGAGAAAGTTTACAGAGTTCAGTGCCATTTTTTAGGTTTGGGGAATAGAAGATTGGCAAGGACTGATAAGGGTTTTCTGAAGGGTTCCATTTGCTTTTAATTAAAGCTTGCAAATTGAATAAGCAAGAAGGCAAGGTGGTCCATGATAGTACTGGGGTAGGAATAGATTAGTGTGAGAGATGTCCCCTACTGCAGACACGTGTAGGAATCTGTCTCTCTGTCCTTCTGGTTTCAGACATCTGAAAGTCTCCAGAAAAAATGCCATTCTATTGTGTGTATATTGAGTGGTGACATACACATCAAGTGTCAACTCCAGTGGGATGGATGACTTTGTAGAATGGATATATGGTTTAGTTTTATAAAATCCTCTACCTGTGACACCACAGAGTATCAACTTAGTCTTTCTGTGATTATTTTTTTTTTTTTTAAGAGCAAGACTTTATTTTAATGATGGTTTTAAGCTGAAAGCCAAAACCTCCAATTAAGAAATGCCTGTGGATTCATGTACCTGATGTGAATGCAGTTACTGTTTGTATTTCAAGCTCATCCTCTTAATTAAGAATATTTTGAGCTGAAGAAAGCAGAAGAAGCTGTTGAGTTAATGTCTAATCGGATGAGTTTTAAATAGCTATTCTCCTGTAACTGCATCCAAGCCCCATCTGTGAGGTTCTTATGGTTTTCTGATTAAAAAAAAAAAGCAAGCAACATTTGCCTTCTTGGGACCTAAGGTTAATAGGATACTGGGATTGAAGATGCTAATGAACTTCGTGTCATCTTAGAAAGATTTCATGCCTGCCTTGATCTGCATTAATTCCAAAAGTGATACATCTGTACAATACAAAACTTAGTAGTATTTCACATAAAAGTCCATACCATTAGCTATCTTCTGTGAGAATCTCAGTTTTAACAGTATTTAGGCTTTTCTAACAGTAGTATTTAGTAGTTATATCCAAGGAAAGACCTTCATGTGTTCTACTGTCAAAACCTCATTCTCTGCATTATGTTCATAGGACAGAGAGGTAGAATATCTGTAATTTGATGAAGGAGTCAGGAAGAATAATGCAGTAGACCCATTTCTCTGCTACAAATTATCAAGGGTAGTAGTGCACAAAATTTCATACTGAACTTGATTATGAGGGGAAAATGTCATAAATCCTTTTCTTAGTGAAGACCGAGAAATATACAGCATTAACCACATTTTCCTTACTACCTCAGTATTTCTGAGGAAAAAATAGTGTAAGAAAAAAACATCACTGATTTTCATGTATTTGTATTCATTTGTGAAATAGGGAGTACAGACAAGCCAGAACTGACATCTATGGAAAGATACTGGTTTTGCTGTCCCATTTCTTACCCTTAGATAAAAACTTTTAAAACCTGAGGAAATGCGTGTGAAGCAGTCTATTATGTCTTCTAACTTACACTTTAAAAACAAATCCACATTGCAAATTATTTTAAACTATAAGCAGAAGATAGTTCATGTGAACTTGAGAGCTGAACATTTCATGAACATGCTTTAATGTTGGAGCCATTGTTACAACTGCATTCTACATCATTCACTATATACGTATGTAATGTCCGGTGAAAGCAACGCACTACACAGTGTGGTGGTAATTATTGTCCATACTATTTCATTATGTTTTCATGGTTTCTTTCTTTTGTAATTCTATTGCCATTGCACCTTAATAAGCAAGCAGAAGCTATCTTTAATCTTGTTTGAATTAGGAGAAAAAGTTGGAGGTAGATGAAAAATTAATTCATGGTTCATTGCAGAGCTGCCTTATGTTCTCAAATTATTACAAATACTCATAGGATAAATAGCTGTAGCTTGGAGGGGAGAAGAATATGGCAACAGTTATTGCACACTGGTGGGACACAGTATAGCACTAGTCTGCTCAACTGTAGTGATTAGGCTGTATGTGCCTTGCTACTACTGGCTGTAAGTAATCTGTTGTTGGGCATCCAATATTAGGAAGGAGTGGTATAATTCTGGTATAATCAAGTTCCTTTACTCCAGGCCTTACAGAACATGTACCCTGGTGGTTACAACAGCTTTCGTTTTAAGTTCTTTAGTCATCACAAGCAATGTCTGTCAGTGCTTGGTCATCTGACCATTCAGTTAATAAGTCTTTAAGCCCTAAAGTAATGTCAGTTAAAAGGAGAGGAAAAGCAATTTTTCTAATATTGCTGTAGAGTATTTTAAAGTATATTGCAGACATGATAGTTTTGTTTCTTGCTATAGTAAGGTGTTCTTGCCTTTGGCCTGAGTGAAGGAGTCCTACATTAGTTTTCAGTGACTAAAATACATAATATTGTGCCACTGCTGTTTACTGCCCTTTGTGTTCCTACCATAATGTATTTATATCCAAATAGGATATAATATATTTGTATCCAAATAGGATCTTTGCTTGTATTGTTATTTAGTACAGCTTCTAACAGCAGGATTAAAATGGCATCTGTGTTGCAACCATTGCCATGCTGAGTGTTAACCTCATAAATAGTTTTAGGGCTACCAGAAAGTAGATGAATGTCTAAAATTATTTTCTTCATGGCTTGTGTGGGGTAAAGGAGTAAAATCAGCATGACTAAAATGAGATGCAGATCAACTGTTACAACACTTAAGTTTGTCAATTTTTGTGGTAGTGTATATGGCATTTATTCAGTGCCAAATTCCATTGTTTGGTCTTTAGTTGAACGTTATTTTATGGGAAGGTACAGATTTCAATGAGAATTATTCCATCAAAGTTGTTTCTTCAAAGGCTTTTTTATTGAAAGTTGCTTTGAGTAAGACTTGTAGATCAGCCTTTTTAATGGCTGAAGTTACTTCTGCATTCAGTATTTTTAGGTCCCATCAAAGCAACTTGAGTTCTAATATCTACCAGTCCCATCTTACTAGATTTAAGTGGCTTTTTTGTTTTGTTTTTTTCCATGCAGGTACTGCTCATTATTCACCACGAGTGTGGATCTGAAGAAGAGTTAATTACCTCTATTTTTTTGAGTATGTTTATACTTCAGATACACACAACGTAGCCTCCTTCCCCATTAGATTCTTAGAAGGTAGTTATAATTTTTTTTCTAGTATCCTTCTTGTGGCTTTAACAGTTATGATCAGTAACAAAATAAACTATTCCTTACATTTTGGGCAACTGCATGCCAATCAGTTCACTTAGAACCTCCTGGAGGTCTTTCGCATGCCAAACTTTAAAACTGAGTGTGTATTTGTGGAGGTAACTATGTTAAAAAGAAATCTTTTATTAAAACTTAGGGGTTTTCTCATTCACTGGACTTCGGAGATTAAGTATTCCGTAGGTTTGGAAATCAGTTATGTGAGCCAAGTTTGCTTCTTCTATTTTAAAATTCAGTTTGCACTGCAGTCCTGGGGGAAAAAAATCTAGTTGGGAAATTATAAGACACTTTCACAAATAATTTCTAGATATAGTTAGGCTATTGTATAACTTATTGTACAAATAAGATTGTATTATATCTGTTGTGCTCGTTTCTAGAACCTAGCCGAAGTTTCCTTCTCTAGCAAAGCAACTGCTAAATAGTGTGAAGTCTCTGCATAAACTCAGTATCTAGAACAATAATATGCAATTTCTGTTTGTAAAAGTACATCTTGTATATGGTTTAGATAAGTGTTTGTTTTATTTAGGGTTGGAAAAAGGAGAGAATTTTGGCTGAATATCCTGATGGAAAGATAATAATGGTTCTTCCTGATGACCCAAAGTATGCACTTAAAAAGGTATGGTGGAAAGGACTGGACTTGTATATCTCATTTTGATGTTTTCATGTAAGACTGTAATGAGAATATTCATGGTAAAGTTTATATAATTTACATGTGAACAGTTGAAGTTGGATTCAGAACTGCAGAGAGTCTGTAGCTTATTCCAGAAACAGGTCAGACATCTCACTCATATGCACTGCTGCTGTCTTCATAGAGGGTATGGGTCTGAGCAGGGGTGGAAATAGCAGCAACCAACTGATGGTTTTTTTTGTTTGGTTTTGTTTTTTTTACTATGCTTGCTGAAGATCTGCTAGATAGTTTATGTAATATAAACTTCCTACTATATTTGAACAAACTGAAAAGTATTGACTTTATTGCACAGCACAAATATGGCATCATTCTCCAAAAGGTTTTTGGGTAAAAACAGATTTAGGTAGAAAGTGGCCTCAAAGTCATCTGGTCTGTTCTCATGTCCAGAGCAGGATCAGCTCTGGTTGTGATGCATCTGACAACTTTCTAAAGCTTCTACCACTGGAAGTTTTTCTGACCTCTTCAGACTATGTTACAGTGCTTCACTGTCCATAACATTAGGAAGCTTTCTCAATGTACAGTAGAATCTTGTACTGCAATTTAAGATCATTAGAGTTAATCATACTGTCATAGTGGTAGAAAACGTCTGTCTTTTCCTCTTTGCAACAGCTCTTATTTGTGCCTGAACAAACTCTTGTTGTTTCACCTTAAGGAAATGGATGGAATGTGTTGCTTTTTTTTTTTTTTTAATCTATTTTTAGTTTATACTCCTAAATAATGTTTTATGGAGCTCTGACCATTGTCACACTGTCCTCTAGATTATTTCTGTTTGTGTCATGTCTCCTGTTTCTCTGTTAAAACTCTTTATCTAAACCTGGGCACGGTACACTAGTGGAGACTCAGAGCAGCACACTACTTCAGTGTCCTGCTGGCTAGCTTGTGTTCGTACATCTTAATATGTCATTACATCTGTTTTTTCAGTAGCAATGGCATTGATTCTCTTTAGCTGGGTATTTGCTGTGGCTAACAGGTGCTTTTTTACAGCACCACTATCACAGGATCATAGAATGATTGAGGTTGGAAGGGACCTCTGGAAACTGAATTGATGCTCAAGACAGCTCTTTCTGATGCAGTGACTGTAGTGGGTTTTCTTTAGGCTAACATAGAATTTTAAGTTACTGAACTGTAAAGAAAATTCTGTAGTTTCTTTTCAATATTTAATGCAGATAATAGGTTTTGTTTCTCTGGTGGTACTGTCTTCGGTTTAGTACATTTTAATTGTATATTCCCTTTTTGCTAAAATGGCTGAAGAAAAAATTACTTGAAAATACCTGAGTGGGGAAGAGGAAAGAAAGACGGTAGCAAGAGGAGTAATTTAGGATAGAGTTCTCTGTAGTTCTGTGCGCTGAAAGTTCAGAGAATTTACAGCTGTCACCACTGTGGATGACTGACTTCAAGACTGGTCACTTAGTGCTTCAAATTGGACTCGTCCTTAAAAGAATGGTGCCTGGAGGTTATGTGAGAAAGTAGAGAGTAACCAATACCATGTCTGGTATTTTTTCATTTTCATTTGATCAGTACTAACTCATTTTCACTTGATCAGTGCTAAATATATTCATAGCATTCCTAGTAATCCTAGGTTTGCTCTACTAACGTACCACATAGGAAAGGCCACCTTATTTCTGTCTCTCATGAGATGATAGGGGGTGATAGAGGCTGTTTCGTTGGCTAGTTGTAGATACAAGAATCCCTCAGTAAAATCTTGGCTTGCGCATAAGCTTTTGTTTATGTTCATGCTGGAGTTGATTATTTCTTCTGAACTTACTAACATTAAACGTTATTTTGATTGAAGTTTGGACATAATGGAAGCTGACTTAGAGGTCTCTTCCTATTTCCAGCTAGGTATTATTTAAGGAACATTTATGTGGAGCGATGTGTTGCAGGTTATGTAAGGTAATCCTTCACTTCTGGAATAGCTTTCAGTGTTAACTGTATTTTTTGAAAATATGCCATGTTTATGTAAATTTATACAGATGTACACTTACATGTGTTTCTTATACATCCTTTAAACTTATTTTGACAGGTTGAAGAAATTAGAGAAATGGTAGACAATGACTTGGGATTCCAGCAAGCTCCTCTCATGTGTTACTCTAGAACTAAAACTCTCCTTTTTATTTCTAATGACAAAAAAGTTATCGGCTGTTTAATTGCAGAACATATCCAGTGGGTAAGTGATTGAACTGGGGAAAGGCAGTCTGGGTCAGTGCTTTGTGACTCTGTTATTTAGACATGCTGAAGCTATAGAATTACCTCAGAGTTTAAGTCTGGCCATTTAGCAGATAAGTTTTCTGTGTATGCCTTTTCCACAGCAGAGGAGTTTTTTGGTGGTAGACCATTCTGAAATGTAGTTACTCATTTTTGTATAGTTGACATTGAGCTGAGACGTGTATGGCGTCATACTTGGCTCAGACCTGCTCATCAAAGAGCTTGCTACAGCTGAAGGGTGGAAGTTTTCTTCCTCTCCTATACGTGTGCTAGCTATGGCTCTCCTCTTGCTTGTTGACAAGCAGATTAATCTCCTAGCCCACTGGAAATCCCATGTGGATGAAAAAGTGAGTATTCTGTAGGATTGATTTGAATTACTGTGGAGTCAAACAGCTCCACAATGAACAGGAGATGGCAGAACTGCATAGTGGAGAGCAAGACAAGAACTCATAGTTTTTAGTTGCCATACTAAAAACTGATGTCAGAACTTTGTTGAATATTTTGTCTGTTCCCTTGTAAACTGTGGTGTTTTCCACCCTGCCTTGGGAGTAGCAGACAAGAAGCAAAACAATCATAGTCAAAGTCAGAAGTGGACTCAAGCACTTGAATACAAGTGGTTTTAAGAATTGGATTATTTGTTTCTCTTTCTTAAAATCAGATAAGCTTTAGGGGGTATTTTTGGTTTAATCTTTTATCATCTGTTCGAATTGTGAAACTGAAGAGAGCTTGAGTCAGAAATGTATCGTCTTTTTGGTACAGCATTTTAGCAAGTAAGTATTACTTGCCCTTGGTCATCGTGCTTGTAGTAAGCGTGGTTAAAATGCTTCCCATATCTTTGCTCGCAAAGCCAAGCCATCAATCAAATCATTATTAATTGAAATAAATTGCACACAAATTATCTTGTTCAGTCATTAATGATGCTTTTATAAAGTGACAAATATTTTTACATCACCTGCAGGGCTATCGAGTTATAGAGGAGAAGGTTCCAGAAGTCAGTTCAGAAAATGAGAAAGTCATATTTGAAAGACAGAAAGCATGGTGCTGTTCCACTTCTCCAGAGCCTGCTATTTGTGGGATTAGTCGAATATGGGTATTCAGCATGATGCGTCGGAAGAAGATTGCTTCTCGGATGATAGAGTGTCTCAGGTAATGCCAAAGAAGTTCCTCGGTTACCTATGTTTTAGATAGAACTCAGACCAAGACATTTATTGCTTTGTGTGTCTCAAGCCTGTATTTTCAAGCTGCTGGTGTTCTGAAGATGTAGATTTGAGTGTTGTTGACAGTTCCAGTATTACATGGAGTTCCATGGCTAATGTTGGTATTCTGTGATAGCTTCTCTTTAACAGAAATCTTTCTGCTAAACACAATTGTAATGAGTCACCCCTACAGAATGTTGATGAACTTGGGTAAATTCCTCTGAGGTAATTATGGGTGAAGCTGATGAGACTCTCTTTGGTCAAAGTATGAGATTACCCAAGTGTTAAGGACTGGGACCTAACCGTTGGCTGAAATGTCTGTTCCTTAGAGGTAGAGAGCACAGAGACAAGTACACCAAACTATTTGATGTAGTCTGGTGGCTTCCAACTGTGTTTTGGGGTGGCTTTTTTTCTGCTTTAGTCAGCTGCACTGAGCTTTTGAGATATTTTCAATTTCCATGGAGCTTTAGTAGCTAGTGATGAGAGTATTCAGCTGAATGCTAAGTGCTACATCCATAAAAAGACTCAAAAGAATGACACTACTGTTTAGATAGACATTAAAATATTGACTCTCCAAAATTTAGGTTTCTTCCACTGACATTTCCTAGAAGTTTAAATGCCTTTTCTGAGTAATGCCAAGAACTATGCAAATCTTCTTGTTGCTGGGCTGTAAGGTTCGTGCCAGGTGCTTGGCTAGCCCTATCTTGTTGGTGTTTGTGGCATGGGTGCTGCTTTGTCTGCCAGTCTTCCCCCCCTCCTGGGTATTTGGAAAGCTTAGCAAAGCTATTTGCATCTTGCCTGGCTGGGGAAACAACTAGAAAGTTCTTTCTGGATCATGTTCTGTCTGAACTATCAACTGTAAAGGTGTATTCAGCTAAGCACATTAACTTGATGATTTGGTTATAATTTTGGCTGATGGAATCACAGAATCATAGAATATAGGGTTGGAAGGGACCATCGAAGCTGATCTAGTTCCAGCCCCCCTGCAATGAGCAGGGACATCTTCAACTAGATCAGGTTGCCCAGACCAACCTTGAACGTCTTGAATGTCTCCAGGGATGGCGCATCCGCCACCTCTCTGGGCAACCTGTGCCAGCGTTTTACCAGTCTCATAAAGAAGTTTTTCCTCACATCCAGCCTGAAAAAGAAAAAAATATTTTTAATTGTGTATTCAGTAGTTCCCTGGAAACTGTTTCTAAAGGAAAGATTTCTTCCCCAGAGCGATGCTGGAGTTGCTCCCTCAGATCTAGCACTAAGGGATCTTTAGAATCAATTTTAATAGCTCGTTGAAGCTACTGAGGTCATTTTCCTCTCAGCTGTACGCTGCATCTTACCTTTTGCTATGCTCTGGTGCTTGTTGGCTTTCCATTATCTCATAGCTACGTTAGTAGAAAATGGGTTCACCAAGAAGAGCTTTGTGTTAATTCTAGTGGTTTGTAGGAAGGACTGATGAGCTCTAGAATTGGTGTAAATAAAGGAGTCCGGAAGGCTGCAGAAGGCAAAGGAGAGGAGACTTGCTTTTTGATGGCAGTAAGTGGTTATATCTGCTCAGCTGAGAGAAACTTCAGTGTAAATGTCTTTCATAGCAAAGGGTAATTTGGACAGGATGATTCTGGCAGCTCAGTCCTAACTTCAGAATGTTGAAGGTGTCCTTGCTGACTTCTAAGTCCATTCTGAGAATGTCTGCCCTGCTTCACTCAAGCTTTCACAGCTGACCTGGAGTCATAAAACTTAAGTCTTAAGAACCTTGCAACATCATCTTCCTAAATACACTAAAGAGAAGGGAATAAAGCTGGATTTTGTTCCTTCCCTCAAGATTTAATGGAAATACCCATAAGTTCAAAGTTCATACTTTCTGTGCAAGTACATGTAAGTTTATTTTATAGGCATTAAAAGAATTAATTAACTTAATGGGAGTTTCTTCTGTTTCCAAGGATGAACGTCACCTCCTCCTTCCCCTGATCAAGGTCTCAGAGCTTGAGATCAGTTTTCTAACTTTGTTCACGTAGCCATCCAGGAAAGCTCAATGGCACCCTTGGTTCTTTTTCTTCAAAGAGAATAAAACATACAGGAAGAAGTTAAGCAAACTCAGTCCTTGTTTTCATGTAGTTATTACTGAAAATGTGAATTATGCCTTGAGGTTGTGTTCTGAGATGTTCTAAATTAACCCAAGATGTGCTCACATCCAAATGTCAAGTATTTCTTTCAGACAGGGGACTTGCAATTTCATCAGGTCCTTTGAGCCCCCTCTGTAAGCAGCCCAACTTGTGTTTCCGTTCCTAGTGACTGTAGTCATAGTCCCAGAAGTCTCTCTTCCATGAAGAAGTAGTTGGACTGAATTCAGACTTTGTTTTTTTTCAACTCTGAAATTGAACTCTTGATGCAACTCACAAATAATTGCTCTATACAAATGTTTCTTCTAAAATGCCAAACCTTATAAAAACCCTTCCAGGAAAAGTGATCCTCCTTGCCCTTTGTAAGGAGGAGATTGGTATAAATGGAGCGATCTCCTCTTAATAGAGCTTCTTTCTTTTGAATGTCCATGACAATTAACAGTTTGTGGTCTAATAGTATAAATATTCCTGTGTTATTCCCTGAGGGTAATGTCTTTTCTTTTTTCTTCTCCTTTTAAACAGGAGCAACTTCATCTATGGCTCATACTTAAGTAAAGAAGAAATTGCTTTCTCTGACCCCACTCCTGATGGAAAACTCTTTGCAACACAGTACTGTGGCACCGGCCAGTTCCTGGTATACAACTTCCTCAATGGACAGCACCAGACTTAACTGCTCCCGAAGGAATTCTGTTTTTATCGGGAGACTTCTGCCAAACGCACTGGGTGGGTGCAGACCTTCAGCAGAAGCCAGGGCCATTTTTACTACAGTGAACTCAGGACTGGTAACAACCGAAAGGTTGTACTATTTTATTAAAATTGTAAACAATGCAGTAATAGGCTAACTTTTTTTTTCTAAAAGAAAGATATTTTATTAACTTTTGCAAAAGTTTGATTGTATTTTATCTAGTTAGTCATGTTTACATGCAGCAGAAAACTGTTCATAGTGGACTGTAAACTAATGCAAAGACTCTAGCCTCCTTGATGAGTACATGCTGAAGTTCTTAATACGGTGATATACCAGTATGTGTCGGTGCTGTAGCACTGGTCTGTTGCCACCCTTCCAGCAGGGGTTGCTGGCTGGACAGAGTTGGAGGATACACCCAATTGCCTTGAGGCAAGAAGCTTTCCAGTGCAGTCCCTGTGGGTGACAGCCCTCAGAGACTGCACGATGGTTCCTGGGGTTTGTGCTGGGCCCAGCTGGGTGTGAGGGAGCCTGTGAGGTGACAGTAGCATTGGAAACTTGTTCTACCCCACCTTGCTGCTCCTCCCCTAGATGCAGTGTAGGGTAAAAGGCAGAACAAAAGCCCCAGGGACTGATGTAATCATCCTTTTCCTTCAAGTTCTGTACTGGGTATATCCCTTTGTTAGTGGACTTCACCTTGATACTTGTCACTCGTTCAAAATCTCCTCTTTTAAAGGGTTTGTATGTTGAAAAACTGCTGTGGCCTTTCTTGATCTGTACATAATGTAGATAGGTTAAAAATAAAACACTTGATAGCTTTTTTTCAAGTTACTTTGGATGGTACTAAGTGTGAATGAATCTTCAGTGTATTTCTTACTTTTGCCTGTGAAATATTCCCCTAGTGGCTAATGGCAGCATGTGTTTTGAAGCAGTCTCTGGAGAACACAGACTTCCCTTTGTGACAGTGCACTTGCAGATCAGTGCCCCAGGAGCCCAATGTCAGCACTTCCAGTAAGGTGAGAGGTGATGCCTTCAGCCTTGAATAACAGCTTAAAACCCTGATGAGAAAGGTTGAACTAAATTTAAAACTCACTGTTTAATTTTGAAACCCATGTGCAGTGCAGGTACGCTGATTCATGCTGTGCTGTCCTTAACCTTGGCCTAGAGGTAAGGCAAAGAGCTCACACCACCTCCATATTGCTGCTTGGAGTACTTACACCTGCAGTAGCAGAACAGTGGTGAATTGTCATTCTCAAGGGGGTTGTGAGGAGACCCTGAAGGGCTTTGTTAAAAAAGTTATGCAGGTTCACTAACAATCCAATGGTGACCCTGCCTAGAGGGCTTGGAAAGCAGGAGCATTAGTTAAGAGAGAGAGGCAGTCTTAACTGGTAACTTAATATATTCAAATTTAATGAAAGCACATTATAAACATACCATAGCCACAACTTCAGACAGTTTCAGTTCATAAACAATAACATGAGGTAGACTGACTAGTGAAGCTAAATTCACCAAGTTTTTGGTTAAGAAAACTTTACACTAGGAAAGCAACATTTTTAACCCTCTTCCAAAAGTCGCAAAAAGCAATTACATAAGTTAAGCAAAAAAGCATCTGCATATGATTCTTTAAATCTTAGTTTACATTCAGATTTAACCTGTGAATAGACAAGAACATCTACAGGTAAAGTATAACGCTGGCCAATGGAATACATTCATAGGGATGACCATGAGGGTGAGACGTAAAACCAAACTGGAATAGCGATGGGCTAGGTGTCAAATAATGCTGGAGCATGTGGGGGGGACAAGCCTCCCCCTCCAGTGTTGGCTCAGGGCACCCTGGCCAGAGTGTTATCAACACTCCTCACTTCCACACAGGGGAGAGTTAAGGAGATGGGTTTACTATTAGTTGGTAAAGGCAGGCAAATACACTGCCTGACTGGTGGCATTCTCAGCCTCAGGGACAATTTTGCACTGCTTCACCAGAGGGCTAACTCCTTGGAGTAGTTTCAGCACCTGGAATTTTAAGAACTTAGTGCAAACATCAAATAGACAAACAAAAAGGAAACCATTTATGAACACGTAATACCTGACGCTTCTACACCACGCTAAGGTTTGGGGTTGGCCCTAAGCCCTTCTGGCAAAACCAGAACTACTGGAATACATTCAGGTGTGTATCAAAAGCTTCAAGAAGTATCTTTCATATTCATCCTTCTTCTGAGTGTTAAAACAGGTAAGGCAGGCTGTGTCTGAAGGAAAATTAAAAATACATTTACAGAAATGGGTTGTCCATCAGAAATTTGCTAAATTTACAGCATCAGAGTGAAGCTACGTTAACACAGACATACGCAAACCATTTTCCTTTGGCCTCCGGCAAATATATTACGCTTTTTCATCTGTAAACATCTCTTTCCACAAGATAAAAAAAGTTGCTTAGTTAACACTATGCTTAAAAAACCACCAAGTATGACAACGTGCTAATTTCATTGCTTTTGGGGGAGTCAACTGATATTCCTGAAATGCTGTTCCGAACAGGCTGAGGTTTTATTTTTAATGAAGGGGTCATGATGTGCAGGAATATTTTTGTGCAGGATGATCATTTTTTCTGTATGGAAACCTCAGCGGGGTAGCTCATGCTAACAGCATGAACAGAAGAGTACTGTTACAATTGAACCCTGCAATCAAATGCTGCTGCACTGCATTCATTCCAGAATAACTTCACAGGGATCAGCAGTATGCCTGTAAGTAGAACAATGGGCAACTACAGCTACAACCACTATTTACAGAGGGTAACCGAAACAAAAAGGAAAGGCTGACGTTGTCAGGTGATGGATTCCAAGACCTTTGCTTCTGGACAGAATCTCTCCTGAGCACTCCCAACCCTCCCCTGGCACCGTTGTGGGATACCTTCTGGTTCGCTCAGATCCAGCTTGGGCACATTGCCCTCCTTGCACATCTCTTGGTATGCTGCTTCACAAATAGGTACAACTTGACAGACCCAGTCTTGCCGCTGCAGCCAGCTGGAGTTGAGCAAAAAGTACATGGTGAGTGAGCTGCATATGGCCCACCACTGAGGCACCAATGTACAGGAGGACTCATTTCCACATGCAAAGGAGGACAGCCCACAGGTTTTCAGAATGCTTGAGGAGAGTGAGGAACAGTAGGCGAGTTGCTGGTGAGTTACTCTAACTGAGTGGGAGCAGCTATGAGGAGCCTTTTGCTTTGTCACCAGAGCTGAGGAGGGGGTGCCTAAATGGGGTGACTAAGGTTGCTAAGGAGAACTGGGGTGCCCAGTGCCTGCCACGGGTTTGCTGATTTGTTCAGGTTCAAGTAGTAAACTTTGAACACCTGTGGAAATTTTGCCAAGGACAGTTTCAATACATACACAATTACAGATTTTCAGCTAACACTGCACAGAGAACAAGACTATTCCTTTTAATACAAATATCTATGTTATAGTGTAGTTTCAAACCCCTGAGTATTCCTGTACCACAGCACAGAGCTGAAGAGACATGATGGGCTCTCCTCCATACAGCTTCAATAAATGCCACGTGCTGGGTTGCGTTTCATGTAACATTCAAGTTAGCAGCTGCCCAGAGCAGCTTCTTCTTCCCCTACCTCAGCTGAATATAGAAAGGATTCTTCTTCAACTGAATTATGTTCTCTTTTCAGATCCTACATTTTGGCTGGCTGCGTAATCAGGGTCAGCCATTATGGCTGACATGAAAATAACTGGAATCCAGGATCCTTGAAATCATAACTGATGTGGTAATTTTAGCCTTAGGACTAAAGCCTACTTCAGAATTGTAGGGAATCCTTTCAAGCAGCCTAGATAAATATTGGTTGCACTTTGCTCCACAGTGATTGTACTTGTTTTTAAAAACAAAAAGTTCTTTTTTCTTTGTTAGCGGTGTCTTAGCGAAGCTTATATATGGCGTCCAGTAAGAAAATAGAGAGGTTCATCATCACTACTGTTAGCAGTTTGAAACTCATCTCGAAGTCGGAACTGCCACTCGTCCTCCAGCTCCAGCCGGACTATTGTCTGCCGTAAGGAGCTTCTGTCTTGACATATGACACACAGGGTGGCACCTTCAAGTGAAAAGCATGTGAGATTCTCAGTGTACAATAACAAGTCTCTGATTTTTTTCTCAGTAATTTTCCTAAGCTATTTTAAAGAACTCTGGTCTGGTGGAAGTTGTCCCTTCCCATGGCAGGGGAGGTTAATTAAGACTAGGTAATTATTAAGGTCCTTTCCGACCCAAACCACCCTGTGATTCAATTACCTACACTTACTACTGACAGGAACAGAAATTTTATACAGTCCCAAAAGAAACACTGCACCTCTTTCTTTTGAAAACAAGGGCAGCACTAACTGTGAAAGTTCCAGACCTGTTAACGAAGCTGGTTATGCCTCTACCTTCCCTTTTTTCTCCGTGTTATTATTTGTCAGGAAGGCACCCAGACAGTTCAGCAAAGCCGTAAGATTACCTTTCAGAAACCTGAACCGCTTGAGGAGGTCTGCGCCAACAAAGGAGTCACAGAGATAGAGCAGCAGGCCGCTGAAGAACACCCCTTCGCAGTTGACATTGACTGAGTGCGGGCGGGAGCTAATATAGCATATGGCCACCTGAAACAGAAGGAGAAAAGAAAGGAAGTACTTCTGGGTGAGAAAGGATGACTAAGTGGAATGGAATATAACTTAGTGATAACAGGCAAGTCAGCTAGGGCTGGTCAAAACGTAATCCAACGAGAATGCACTATTGAGCAAACTTCACCTGGGAAATAACACATGGGACAAACTTCTAGATTCAGCTTGGCCACTGAAACATGTTGTTTCAGGGTCCTATGTAAGTCAGTTTGCTTTTCTGCTTCTATATGAATTATAACAGCTGTCAAGATTTTTGAGGTTGTTCTAATAAGGAGACATTTGCCACAGTAAGCAATTTCATGAGTACTGCAACTGCTGAGGCTTGAGCTCCTCCACGTCTTCTCTTGCTGACAGCAAGCATCACCTAAGTGGCTCCCAGCATTGGCCTGCCCCTGTGTTTCAGTGCTCTGATGGTTCTGTATCAAAGGGTTTTTTCCTGTATCTTGTCACTGACCTCCATAAAATTTCCCAGAACAAAGGCCTTTTAGGCTTTCATCCCACTTCAGAGTCAGTTCAAAGTGGTCGCCCTACCTACAGACATCTAAGACATACTTGCATACTTTTCACTAGAAACCCAGGTTCATAAAAAGAAAGGCATCTGAAAGGAGAGCTGCATTACAAAGGGTGAGCTTCACAATAATGAATCAAGGATTGCATCAGAAACTCTCTCAGCCAAACCAAGTTTGTTGCAAGGACAACTCAAAACACAGATAATAAAAAGCTGTATGCTAGAGAGTGACCTAAAAAACCGAGGGGATAGTTTTTGTACAGACTATGCAGCACACCAAGCTCTATCAAGAACAGCATCACTGGGGGGGGGGTTGCATCATATGAAATATTATTTGAGATAGATGTGTCCAATTTCCTTGCAAACTACATCGAGCCATCGCAGACCACTGGTCTCTACCCACACCAGCCAGCTAGGAGGCTTTATCACCAGCTGTTCCAGTGGAGTTGGTCTCGCTGTTTGAGAGCAGCCTTCAAACACTACTCTGGCTGCTGAGGGTTCATAAAAAGATGGGGTTTTCAACACCAGAAGGGTGCTGAAGTAAAGGTTTGCATTGACTTGTCCCCATCATCCTTTCAAGTATTTTGTACCTCAAGCCCGATGTTCAGGTAGCAGTCAATGGCCAGTACCGGGTTCTTGAAGTTATTAACGGCCTTCGGGAAGAGTTTGTAGGTTGCATGT